ATATATATATATATATATATATACACATACATAAAGCATATCTACCAACTAGCTCGATATTTCCATGGAGTTACATTAGGGATCTAACTGCTTTCAATTTGGCATTATTGGGAAAATGGAAATGGAGGATGTTAGTGGAGACTAATAATATGTGGGTAAAGGTAATTAATTCCTTGTACGGAGATCATTTGTTCCTTTCAAGTGGGTCAAGGAGGAAAGGTTCTAAATGGTTTGCTGACCTGTGTAGCATTGAAAATAATAATATGGTTGCCAGAAATTGGATGACAAATAGGTGTAGAAAGGTGGTTGGGAATGGGAAAAATACATATTTCTAGGAGGAAGCTTGGTTGCAAGGAGGTTTGTTGTCACAAAGCTATAACAGATTGTATTACATTGCAAAAAATTAGAAAGCTAAAATCTCGGATTTGGTAATTTGGAGGAATGGAGGCCCTGAGTGGTGCTGGAGATGGCGTAGAGAGTTATTTCAGTGGGAAGAAGATTTATTGAATTCTATTACAACAAAAATGAGTGAGCTAAATCTGAAGGTTGATGTAGAGGATTGTTAGAGTTGGATTGTTGATCCCAATGGCGTTTACTCTATCAAGTCTGCATAAAGAGATTAGAAATGACAGGATTTTTGCTTCCAATAAATTTTTTTTCAAAGTTATGGTCGAAGGTAGTTCCATCAAAGGTTACAACTTTCGCCTGGAAGGAAATTCTTAATCGAGTTGCTACTAAACAAAATTTTGTTTATTGGAGGCATTTTGGATAGTTCAGAGGTTGAGTGCCCTCGTTGCACGGGCCATACGGAGACTGGTTCACATATACTTTTTGAGTGTCATGTATCTTATCGAGTTTAGACAGAATGTTTTAACTGGTTAGGTGTGACATAGTTATGCATAATAATTGTGTAGTGCACTTGGAACAATTTTTTGGTCTTTCTTTTTGTAACTCACAGAAAAAGGATTGTTGGATATCTATTTGGTTAGCCATCATATGGATAGAGTGGTTGGTTAGGAATAAATTGGTCCTTTCTTCCACTCAAATATCTACATTGGAGATGGTAGATTTGGTTAAAATTAGGACCTAGAATTGGCTAAGGACAAGGCATAAAGATTTTAGGTATGACTTTGTTTTTTGGTCTATGAATCCAGTAGCTTGCCTTACCTAGGTTTTAGGTGGTAAATATGGCTACTGGAGAAATCTGGTTTTGAAGTTTCTATTTCAAAATTGCGAGTTGGATGTATTTATGGCTATAGTTGGGTTTTGGTGTTACTATTTTCCCATGTCAAGTTAGGATCAGAAGGCTAATATTGTTTCTGGTTCAAGCTTATGATTGTTTTTATTCATGTATGTATTTGGGTTTTGGTGTTGTTGTTGTCCCAATCTAAGCTTTTTACTTTCTTTTATCCAATTAGAAAGACTTGGCAGTCAGGTCATTACGTTTTAGAGGCTTAGATTAGGCAAATATGGAATAGTTTGCTGAAAGGGTCATTTGGTGATTTACAATTGCTTTATATTTCATATGTAGTAGTAGGCTCACGTACATAGTTTGGAGGAGTATTTTCAATGGTACATAGTACACATATCACATATGGTAGTTTTGTAACAGGTTGGAGTACCCCTTGTACTCCCTTTAATTGAATTATTTAGCTTATATAAAAAAATACATATTAATTCTCACTTTACAATTGTGTAACTCTCTTTTTAATTAGATCAATTTGTTGATAATTCAGTTAAAAAGATAAAAATTACATAATTCCTATAATATAATATTCTTATGCACATTCATTAGAACTATTTAATTTAAACTCCATTACATATTTTGTGTGTGAAATTTGATGATCTTTTTCTAAATTAACCTGTAAAATAAAAGTAAAAATAACTTAGAGAACAAAAAATTATAATAAAAGATATTATTAACAATCAAACTTACTTTTAATCATTTTTCTAAAATGAAACTCGTTTCACAAACTTAATTATCTAATAAATGACTTTAGTTAAAATGAAATCTTTTTTTTTTTTTTAAATTTAAAATGGAACGTTACAATTAGATCTTTTGTCATAAAAAAAATTGAATAAATATTGCATATTCATTAAAACTATTTAATTCAAATTCTATTACATATTTTGTGTCTGACATTTGATATCTTTTCTAAATTAACCTTTAAAATAAAACTAAAAGAATTAGAGAACAAATTAAAAATTATAATAAAAAATATTATTAGCAATCAAATTTACTTCTAATTATTTTTATAAAATCAAACGTGTTAAACTTAATTATCTAATAAACGACTTTAGCTATAATGAAACTTTTTATTTTTTTTAAAAATTTTAAAATGAAAGATTACAATTAGATCTTTTATCATAAAAAATTAAATAAATATTATAATGTAATAATAAATATCATAATGATGTGACAATACTTTTGTTTCATAACTTATAATTTATAAATATCAATAAATATTTATTTCATTTATAATTAGTAATAATTACATATTATTAATTATTTTCTATTACTGACACATTAATTAAATTCAATCTCTTAATTACTCAATACTAATTGAAATGATCATCAAAATTTTGTCATAAAAATTAATATAATCAATAATTACATATTATTTTCTTTTCTGTATATAGTTTATAATATTCATTTGTTATTTATTATTTTTATAATTAATATTTTAATTAAATTTAGTCCCTTAATTTAAAATTAATATATATAATCAATGAAATATATAATTACTAATTAAATATAACTTTCAATTATCAGTTATTTATTACTAATTATTTATGAAAATATAATTTTGTAAAAATTTAACTTTTAACCGACTAAAAAATTAAATAAAAAATAAATATAGTGAAAAAATGCCTAAAAATTAGTATTTAGACATGTCATTATATGCAAAGGAGCGGCCATCAGGATGAGAGAAGGTGGAGACAATAGAGGACTGAGGAGGAGTCATCTCACGTAGGCGACAAAGGTATGGTCGTCACGATTTTTGCTTCAACGGAGAAGTTATAGCTAGTAAGTATTTGAAGGATTTATGGGGTGGGGAGGTGGCAAGGGTTGATAAATGCGATAGAGGAGCGACTATCACAATTTTGGGGATGGGGGATGAAGGAGGTTAGTAGGTGGTGAGGGACAATTAGGTAACGAAATACAACCGTTGTAGTTAGATGAGTTATGAATCTGCTATGCAACTATAGGTGGTACTCCAAGTATTTAGGTTTTGTGGCTATAGAGAGGCCAAAACACATTAGAAAGGAACTCACACAGCAACACGGTCAGGGGTGAAAGCCCCAGTAGCAGCCTTGTACTCAAATCTACAATAGTAATCCTCAGCACCCACATTCTCAAGCTTAGTGTAGTTCTTGAAAGAGTGCACTACACACTTCCCTTCAATGGTGTGAGCACTCTGCACATCATAGTGGTCAGACAGAAAAAGTTCCTTAGCCCCATGAAACTGCCTTCGACCCCCAATCGACTCTTCAGGCCTATAGTACCACCTCACACGCACCTTCACGTTGTTCCTGTTGTCCTGCTCGATCTTCTCCAC